TATATATATATATATATATATATCATTTTATTTATAAATGTTAATGTCTATTATTTAATAAATAATTTAATATATTTTGAATTACTAGACGGTACTCGTAGAATGCAGCGAAATATATCTTGATTTTAGTGTTTTATTTTTATTCATTTTCTCTTTTGATATAATATGGTTTTTAGGAAACGATAATTTTTTATCTTCTAATGAAATATAAATTTGAAAACAATGTATCGATAATATTATTAAATTAACTATTTAAAAGTTCTCATTTTCTATGTAATTTCTTTAATTCAAATTTTTATTTTTATTTAACTTAGATTTAATAACAAAGTAATTATTTTTGTTTTAATAATATAACATTTTATAAAGATAATAATTAAGTATTTTGTTAGAACTCAATTATTATCCTAATTGTATTTTAGATTTTTTATATTTAAAATAAAATGGTTATCCTGTATTAATTTGATTATGTTTATCTAAAGTTAATTACACAAATTCAAACATGTAATTTTAATAAGTTGTACTTACGCACGATCTACTTGTAATATTGAACTTTAAGTAACATGCATCAATAAACAATACTTTATGCATAAAAATGGTTTTTAAGAGTCTTGTCAAATGCTTTATAGTACAATTTTATATATACCCACAATTTTTTATAATAATTTCCTTTGATTTTTAAAATATACAATAGTTAAAGTAACATACATATTAGGGAAAAATATTTAAGGCTCCATTCAAACAATATATTTTAGAGTAAAGTTTAATTTTGGTATTTAACGTTTATAACGTTTAATGAATCTGGTCTCTTACGTTTGTCAATTTACAAAATTTTAGCCTTTCATCTTTACGGTTGTTAATTGTTTTCTATTAAGTTTAGTTAAATAAAAAGTATTTTTAGTCATTTTTATTATTTTCTTAATTTTATATTAAAATTAAAAAAAACACATCATATTTTAATTTATTTGTAAAACAAAAAAATGAACTCTTTTAAATTTAAAAATCTAATGTACTTGTTCTTTTTGTCCCCATAGTTTGTAATTTATTGTTATTTTTATCCTTGAAAAAAAATCTAATAAAAATCCTCCATTTAATTTAGGTGTATTTTAGGGACCGTTACTAAACGTTTATTAAGTAAGTGTTTACCGGATAAATTCCTTTATTGGATGAACATGACAAGGGGCAAGAATTTTACCGGGTAAGAGCGATGAGAATGATAAAGAATTTTTCCTGCTAAATTGTTATATTCGACACGTTTTGATATACTAAAATATTACGCAGAAAAGTAAATTATAGTGTTGACTCCTATAGGTAAGTATTTATCAAGTAAGCATTTGGGAAAACAGCTCCTTAGTCTTTTTTTTTTTTTTTTTTTCGTTTTGGTTTATCAAATATATTTTTTGGTATTTTAGTCTTCTTTAATTAATCATTTTTTGATAAATAATTAATGTATAAATACAATTATATTATTTTGTTTTTTTTTATGATAAAATAATTAAATATTTTTCATACATTTCATCATTACATATTTTTCATACATTTCGTTGTTACATATATTTTATCTCATAATTTCGGTTTTTTATTAGTGGATTTATGTCACTAACGTCATTCAAGTGTAAGCAGTAAAGTGCCTTATATGATAGTATTTTAATTTTTTTTTTTAGAAAATTATGATTTGTGTCCGTATGGGGTGATGTTTGTCCGTCCATGTGATTGTTTGTAGGGATTACGATCAATTCTTTAAATTACACAATGTATTAACATTAAATGAAATTAATTTTGATGAAATTGTTAATGCGAATGAAGAAATCACAAATAAACAATTTTTGAAAATGTGAATATTAATTTACAGATTGGGTAAATTATTAATCCGAGTGAAAAAATCATAAGTAAATAAAAAAAAGTAAAATCTTTTAAATATAATTAATAATAAAATATTATTATAATA